GTGGCCTGTAACAGACACCCACCACAGTATCTCCCATGATAGCCTGCCCCTTAACTCTCACCCACAAACTCTCAACTTGCTCCGCATCTGCCCATGGACAGAACATCTAATCAAGGATGCATTCAGATAAGGAAGGGTCTCTAGAGATGAAATGAAAAATGTATTTTCTTATCTTTGAACATACTGCAGCAATGTGTTAACCAAATTCCAAGTTATAGGTGGCAGCGTAAAACAATACTGAGAACATACAGCAGATACAGGCATCCATATTCTAATGACAGAAATCTCCTATAACATCCCAAAGCAATAACATACATTGATAAGGTATCAGAAGCTCAGTGCACCCTGGTAATACCACTTGTCTTCGTGTAGAAAAGGATGGTGGTTTGAAATGCAACATAATCAATCTGCTCAGCACAGAAGTGGAAAAAATAAGGGCAATTCAGGAACAAAAAACTTAGAAATACATCTTTTAGAAGCATGTATTATAATACAAGATCATTAACAAAATTGATTGGACTGTTTCCAGTAAGGCAGCAGTCACACACCGCAGCTCAGGTTTACATAGCCACTGCTCACACATTTTTAATAATAACTTAAAAAAATACTTATAAAAATGAATCAGGCAGATAAAATAAAACTCCTTTCAGAGTTTTACATTGTCTTCAAGAGACTCCTGGTTTATGGTCTGTATTATTTCAAATGTAAGGCATGAATAGCTACGAAAATGCAAGCTTGCCCTTATCTGAGAATCAAGTGCAACAAACGAGCAGCATTTTCCAGCTACGGCCATAGGCCTTCAAGAAGGAGAAAATCTCTTATATTTTGAGTCTACTATTGTGGCTTTCTTTCTTTATCACTTGGGTCATGCTCTTCTAGACTTTGACTCTCTCTGAATACAATTCCGTTATCAAGAAAAACATATCCAAATAGCCATTGGCCTTTAGTTACAAGTTTGATTAAAATGACGTAACCTAAACATCTCCTCAGAAGTCTTATGAGCTAAAAACAGACAAAATCATCCCTAGGATATTGAAGAGAGTTAAGAGGCATAATTTCATCTGGAAAGAGGAACAGCAAGATAGCTGAGGGAAGAAAATCTAAATGTTTGTCACTATTCAGATCAATGCTGAAACAGTAATTTTTTTGCAGGAACAACCAGCAAAAAGTAATTGGTTTACATAACAATGTCCAACTAAGCATCAACAATCTATTCTGTTTTTTAATGCTGGAGTTATTGGTCTACTTTAAAATATAATACAACCCAGTAATTAGATAAAATTACCTTTTTGTGTTAATTAAAACATAGTTTACCTTTTATGTACTGTTTCTTTGTAATCCTAACTGGATGTTTAGAGATACCTTGAATGTTCTACAAATAAGAAAAAAATGCTTAGTAAGTTAAAGTTCATGAAAACACGTTTCTGAACAGTTTGTAAGCAGCATAAGAACATTAGCGATACTAATGCCAACAAGTTTTTCCCACGTAATAAAGAAGATCAACCACTTTGCCTTTCAAAGGAAACTTCACACTTCTGTAAATCTAGATTCTTCTCAATATTTGCTCTTCCTTGAAAACTGGGAGCTTGTAAGGAAGATTTCTCACTGGCAGACTTTCCAAATGATAATCTTTGATAAAATAAGGAAGGAGCTTTTTATTAGCTAAAGTACATCAGCCAAGGTTAACAGTGAGAAGTAAGTTTATCAATAAACAGACAGGACTAGGAATAACAGAAGAATTTTTTTTAAAGATTTGGGTTCATACACCTCCAATAAAGCATGAAAGATGACACACGACAGCTTCCTCCTCTTATTTTATGTCATTATGCCTCTTCATCTATATAATGTGTATTAAGCTCAATTGTTGTAATTCCACACAAGTAATTTGCAAGTGGTTCAGAAATTAGATGAACATACTAATATTATATAACACTGTGAATTTGGGAGATAGGAATAGCACTATATAGTTCTCAAATCAGAATGATAATTTTCTACATAATTTTAAATTCAAAATGTGTTTTTTTAAACATAAATGTAATTAGACTGCAAAGCTATTGAAATTTAAAGCAGAACAACAAAAACCCCAAAAGAGAAAAGTATCATTTTTTTAGTTTTAGCATCACCCTTAAAGATCTACAATTAAATGTATTAGAGCTGAACACCCGCCACAGCACCATACACAGAGATAGGAAACTACTACATAATACACACAATTATTTTCACAGCATGGGTAAACAGGGAACACTACTCTCAATTCCTGAGTATGAAGTCTGACCCAGAAGAAACATTTGCCATCTTTAATAGTTCTTCACTTCCTAGCAACATTTAAAGAAACAATTGTGACAATGTTTATTGTAATGTCATATTTTGAAATAAGCGGTTATTTAATCTGTGCACAAAACTAACATTTCTATTGATAACTATTGATTTCATCATTTCCAAGTTGGGGAGCATCAGTGCTTGTTTACAGGAATAATGAGCCGTTTAAGTTGCCACAGAAGCTAGTAGGTCTTGAAAAGTTTAGAAAATTAAGCCCTTTATTATGTACCAAGATATGAAAGTGGGAGCCTAACTTCACACATGTAAAAAATATTTTGATTCTGACTTGAATCATTTTAATGGTAGAGATCACTGTATGGACTTTTCATTAGACTCTATCCTGGTATTGACATGTACTTAATAATATGACCTCCAGCACAGGTTAAAAAGTTTATAGTTACTCTCACCGATCAGTGTTCCCTATTCATTAGCTTCAAAATTCTGAACAAAGTGAAATGAATAAAAAATTATTTTAAAATCTATCTACAATGGTAAAAATAAATCACTATATTGCCATCTTGTTTTCACTGAGAGCATATGCAGAAAGTCTGCTTTTAATGCAATTTTAGAAGTGTTACTAATAATTCTGAAGAAACACTAGTAAGTGGTTACAAGCGCAAAAAGTATTTTCACTTGTCAATTCGTTGACAACTCATAATTTGAATAAATCTTCGGAAAAGACGTAACTCAAGAAATATGAAAATGGTAATGCTCATCTTCAACCTATTGGATTAGTTTAATAGATTCCTCTCACCTAATTTTAGACATCTTTAAGTTGTTGGTCTAAGCTAACTGTCTAGAATCCCTCTAGAGTCAACAGACACAGGAATCTCCAGCGGGTAGTTCAGCCTAACAAGTTGACCTGACATTCCTCTGGAGATGATCTTTTCTAAGATTTAAATAATCAAATTTGAAGGGATAAATTTATTTTAGGTATTTAAATGGATGGAGAAATAAGGATCTCTGCTTGAGTTGAAAATTAGGTGGCAATTCTATTGTATGAAAAGCAGACAACTGATGCAGCTTTGGTAGATGACTATTACCACTGAACTACGTAATACAGCGCATATCTTTGCATTTACGCATTTATGTCAAGCGTATTTCTGCAAAAGCCTTCACAGATCCAATCTGAGGTGATTGTTATCCCTTCTTGTTAGAAAAGGACATCCACATGTCGTTAGACATTATAGAGGAATAAAATTGCTCTCTGTGAACAATTGTTCTCCAAGAGATAAGAAGGAATATACTTCAAACAGTGTGGTGGAAAAGCTGGTTGTGAAAGTTAACTGTTAATACTTCTCTTCATTGTTTCTTGGGGAGGTGCAGGGGGAAACCAAGATACTCTAGTGGATGATTAACAAGATAATCCTAGCATTGGTTAAAAGAAAATATAAATGAAGAACCACCGTAATACAAAACTCATTCCCAGAGTTTCCAATGGATAGAAGGATAGATGAAGCCAAGTCCCAGTTTCAATTATGTCTGAAAGGCTGTGATGATCAGGGGAGGGTCCCGAGTGCTAAAAGAAAGCAAGTGTTGCTCCTTTCTTCCAGGAGGGCAAGAAACTTGATGCAGAAAACTATATGTCAGTCAGCCTCTCCTCAATTCCTGGGAAGGTGATGGAGTAAATAATCCTGGAAAACATTTACAAACATATTGAAGTCAACATGATGATCTGGGGTAGTCAGAGTGGATTTACAAAGGGGAAATCGTGCTTCACCAACGATAGCTGCCTGTGACGAAGTGACTAGCTCAGTGGATGAGGGGAGGGCAGCAGATGTTGTTTGCCTTGATTTTAGCAAGGCTTTCAAAACAATCTCTCATAAAAGCATCATAGACAAGCTGATGAAGTACAGGCTAGATAAGTGGACAGTGAGGGGGACTGAAAACTGGCTGAACTGCCAGGTTCAAAGGGTTTTACGGAGTGGCACAAAGACCAGCTGGAAGCCAGGTGCTAGTGGAGTGAGTACTCCAGTGCCCGGTGCTGCTCAACACCTCCATTGGTGGCCTGGATAATGGGACTGAGTGCAACTGTAACAAGATAGTAGGCAACCCAAAAACTGGGAGGAGTAGTTTATACATCAGATTGCTGCTCTGCACTTCAGAGGGACTGCAAGAGTCTGGAGAAATGGGCTATCAGGCTTGCATAGCATTCACAGTCTGGAAAGCAGCTTTGCGGAAAGAGACCTGTGGATCCCGGTAAAAGCCAAGCTGCACCTGAGTCAGCAGCGAGCCTTGGCACCTGGGAAAGCCAACAGCATGCTGGGCTGCCTCAGGAAGAACAGCACCAGCAGGTCAAGAGTGATCCTTCCCCTCTGTACAGAAGGCCTGAGGGAGGGTATAAAGAAGATGGAGTCATATTCTTGTCATTGGTGCCCAATGACAGGTCAAGAGGTCACAAGTAATTACAGGAACTTCCATTTAAATAGGAGAAGAAAAACTTTCCTACTGTGACAGTGGTCAAGCACTGGAACAGGTTGCACAGAGCTGTTGTGAAGCCTCCACCCTTGGAGATATCCAAACCCCAACTAGACACAGTCCCAAGAAATCTGCTCTAGTGGACCCCGCTTTGAGCAGTGGGGGTTGGACTAGACAATCTCTAGCAGTCCTCTCCAAACTCAGCTATCTTGTGATTCTGCAATTCTGTTTTTATAACATTGCTGTAATTGATTAATTGCCAACACCTTGCCTTCTTTTTACTTCATAGAATTTCTGACCAAGATAGAATTGAAGCCCTCTGTGGTAGGAAGTAGAGGACAGCCATAGAAAGATTTTGGTTTCATTTGCAAGCAAGTTTTTAAAAATATATCTAAACATTCTGTGATTTTGTGACTATATCCATATATAAAGGACACTTGTAGAGTAAAATTCAAAAATTAAAGACAGAAACAAATATATTACCAAAATTGTTGTCTTAAAATATAAGATCTGAGAAAAAGAATTGTATTTATTATGGAAAATGCATACAAAAATGTACATCCAAGTTTAATAAATAATTTTGGTAAACTTGCAACACAATTAATACAAAATACTTGACTGTACGAATGCTAATTTCTATTTTTTATAGTTTTCACAGAATAAAAGAATTATTCAGGTGGGAAAATACTCTGAGGATCTAATAGGGCAAAGTCCACCATTAAACCATGTCTCTGAAGTGCCACAGCTACAAGACTTAACCTCAACAACTTGCCTGGGCAAGTTATCAAAGCTAAAATAAAAAAACACAAACACCTGATCTGCACTACAGTCACTTTGGGTATGGTAAGCGCAGACCAGGTGTCTTTCTCCTGAGTGTCCAAAGCTGATGCCCTTCTTTAGCAGCGGACCTGCCACACAGGGACCTAGCACTCCATCAATTCACCACCTCTTCTACCATTTCAGTTACTTGACATATTTTCCCAGTATCTAGATGGTTGTTGGATCACTGTTTTTTATTTAAACTCTCATAATGCTGGAAAAGTAAGGAGTATAGCCATTGCAGAATACAAAAAAGTCTTACTAGAAACACTAGATTGAAACTGCACATGTTGTAAAACAGACTGCCGAGTTCTTTCCTTCTACCTCCATAATCTCATTTTTTACCACTATAATCCTTCCCATACTCCGGCATTTTAGAGCACAGGTTGGATATCAGTTTTCTTGATTCTGAAAATACCTCTATTAAAAGTTGTTCTACTTTTGTCTGTTGTTTCAGGTGAAAACAGTGTAGGTTCTTGCCTCCACTGTCAGCTTCTGCCTACAGAGCCGTGCAGAAACAGTGACAGACGTCACTTTGGCATGGAGACTCAGAACTGATGGACCCTTGATGTCCCTGTTAGAGCCTCACAAACTCAGCTTTCTAATAAATCATTCAAGCCTTGCAAAAAGGATGCTCTAAACTATAAGGAAAGTCACAGTACCAAAGAAGAGCAGAACTAGCACTGAAAACAAAACCTAATCAAAATCCAGCAAACTATATGCAGTTCCCAGTTTGACGAGTTTATTTTCAATCAGTTGCAGTTTCTGTTGAGCCTTCTGTTTCTGCTATCCAAAATTCTACAACTACATTTTCAG